CAGTCAGATTTTAGTTGCTCTCAAACGTACCTTTGCTTCTCACTGACTGACTGGCTTTACCTTCCATGCACACACACAGTCACTAACACACACACACACACACACACACACACGCGCGCGCGCGCACGCACACACACACACACACACACACACACACACACACACACACATACAAAAAGGCAAGGCAAAGCAGCGGATGCTGACTCAGAGCAGTTGTGTGTGGAGGGGGTGGTATCGGCTGGTATTTTCACTGCACTCATCATTAACGTTAACTCACTCTCTAGCATCCACCCTCTCTCAGACCTGCTGGACTGCAGCATTTGCATGACGCTGTCACTCTAGCCCTTGTGGGTCAGATGTTAGAAGAAAAAAAAAGCCTCAAGGCTCTCATAAGAAATGCCTTCATTTCTTCCAAAGGGTCCCTCTTCTTATTTTTCCACCTTTCTACTTCCTCTGTTGCTGTGTCTCAGTTGTTTGACATCTTTCCGGAAGAAAATGTCTTGAGCTGCAATAAGCCAGTAGTCAGTCGGTCCTCCCCTCACCTCACACTCCTATTCCCACCCCCTTTTTTTCCTAATCAATAAGACAGATCTCCAAATGCAGTTGTGAAAACAGGCTCTGACACACAGACTTTCATCCTCGATCCTCTGCCTCAGGAATAGCAGGCAACCCAGGCTCACACGTGATGTCGAGAGAAATAATGCCAGTAATTCTTGAACAGTCTTAGGAGTTTATTCTACGCCTTCTTCATTTTTTCCTTTGCTTGAATAAATACTGGTGGGAAGGACACACTAGCTCTCAAAGGCTATGAGGATTCATTTCTTCTAAAATAATCAACACTTTAAAAGACTACTATTAATCTTACTCAAAATTAATGTTATCTTTTATTTTTCCCCCACTCATTGTGCTCCCTCTAAGCAGGAATTGTCTCGTAGCCAAAATACTGCCAGGGTCTGAATCACCATTCACTGTGCTGAAATCATAAGTTTCTGGACTTCAATCAGTGTTTAACTGGATTTAGTAAATTTTTTTTTTTTTTATTTTAGACTTTACACTTAAAAAAAAAGAAGCTTTTTGCATCAGAGAGAGTCTTGTCAGGGAACAATGGCAATACACACACACACACACACACACACACACACACACAGAGCTGTGCAAAATATTGAATATGCATGTTTGAACCACACTCGTACATTTATCTATATGTTATTTATTCTGTGTTGGTAGAACAGCCTGTGCCTGTACATGCGCATCAAACACACACACACACAGACTCAGGATGTATATACAAAATATATAGCACAAAGCAAAGCACAAAGGTTGTTAACTGAAACGCAGGCACAAGTTGTATGACAGGCTATGAAAATCTGCAGAGCATAATTATTGAGCGCATTTTTTACTTTGTTCCTTTGTTCTTAAAACAAGGTACTCTAATGGCTTCGGCTGTTGACAATCTTTCAGCTTTCTCCTTTTTTACACCAACAGTATTTGTGAATTATTTTCCCAGACAATACCGCACCACTGTGATTCACAGTAGAAAAGGGGGACAGGTGATACGCAGCTCTCCTGCCAATTCTCAGAGCTGTCTGGTGCTGCAGAAAGCCTCCGCTTACCCACCCAGACAGGTCCCAGGATGCAGCGCTACACCGCAGCGCCAACCAAGGTAGCCATTTGGCAAGGCTGCTGGGGCAGCAAACGTGAAGGGCACCCGGGCGCAGAGAACTTCCAAAGAAAACACCGCACAACCCCAAGTCAAGACAGGAAGCCAAAGCTCGGAGGTCCACACCCTAAGCCCAGTCCGTACGCACGCAGCACCAGCCAGCGTAATGGCAATTAATGTCTTAGATAAAGGAAAGGAAAAAAGCAGGCAATTAGGAAACGGTTAAGTTTGCAATCTCAGAGAAAGGGAACGAGAGAGACAGACACACGCCCACAGAGACAGAGAGCAAGAGGAGAACGCCAAGCATGAGACAACAAAAGCAAGGCTGAAATCAGATTTGGGAAACTGAAAAAATACAGGATTACAGCATTCAGCTTAGCATTTACGGAGGTATTAAAAAAAAAAAAATTAACACATGCACAACATGGCTTAAAATACTTATTGCCATCAATAGTCTGTGACGGATGCCGGCTTCTTACTGCTACACGTACATTAGATTGGTCATCGCCTCTTAATCTCCTTTTGCTCAGACCCATCCATTTTTTGCTGCTCCAGCATCTGTGCCCTTTATGCTTTTTTTCTGTATAGTTACCCACAATACCCTGGATAAATTAATGTCATGACCTCGCTATGGCTATCAGACAGAAAAAAAAAGTCTACTATTTTAATAATTGAACGTGCGCGTACAGCAAACTGCCTACTGATAGCCCAGCTTTGTGGATTGCCTCCAAAAGCAGCCTTTGCTAGCTCTGCGAATCAGAAACAACAGATGCAAATACTAGCCACATAGCCCCTGCTCTCTCTTGCCTTTTTTTTTATTTTTAAGAAAAAAACCCTCTTCAATCTGTGCCATCTCATTTTCCCTGTGTCTGCCCCCTCAATGGTTAAAAATGTTAGCCTGCTGAAATTACAAGCGTTTCAATAAAAGCTTGAGTGAAAGTTATAAATGGCTGCATATTCTGGAAATTTATATCCAGACGGTGAGTAGGGAAGAGTACCCCAGGTTCAAGTGCCGAGCCTCACTCGGGAGCACCTTTGGGGCCAATGGGACTGCAGACTAGATTAAATCAATAGTCGTCTGAAACGAGATGTCGTAATCAATCAGCTCAATTACCACTGTCATAGATCTGGGCTTAAGGTCTTTCCTGATTCCACTCTTCTAATCATTAACCCTTATACATCCTACACCGCAGCGCCAACCAAGGTAGCCATTTGGCAAGGCTGCTGGGGCAGCAAACGTGAAGGGCACCCGGGCGCAGAGAACTTCCAAAGAAAACACCGCACAACCCCAAGTCAAGACAGGAAGCCAAAGCTCGGAGGTCCACACCCTAAGCCCAGTCCGTACGCACGCAGCACCAGCCAGCGTAATGGCAATTAATGTCTTAGATAAAGGAAAGGAAAAAAGCAGGCAATTAGGAAACGGTTAAGTTTGCAATCTCAGAGAAAGGGAACGAGAGAGACAGACACACGCCCACAGAGACAGAGAGCAAGAGGAGAACGCCAAGCATGAGACAACAAAAGCAAGGCTGAAATCAGATTTGGGAAACTGAAAAAATACAGGATTACAGCATTCAGCTTAGCATTTACGGAGGTATTAAAAAAAAAAAAATTAACACATGCACAACATGGCTTAAAATACTTATTGCCATCAATAGTCTGTGACGGATGCCGGCTTCTTACTGCTACACGTACATTAGATTGGTCATCGCCTCTTAATCTCCTTTTGCTCAGACCCATCCATTTTTTGCTGCTCCAGCATCTGTGCCCTTTATGCTTTTTTTCTGTATAGTTACCCACAATACCCTGGATAAATTAATGTCATGACCTCGCTATGGCTATCAGACAGAAAAAAAAAGTCTACTATTTTAATAATTGAACGTGCGCGTACAGCAAACTGCCTACTGATAGCCCAGCTTTGTGGATTGCCTCCAAAAGCAGCCTTTGCTAGCTCTGCGAATCAGAAACAACAGATGCAAATACTAGCCACATAGCCCCTGCTCTCTCTTGCCTTTTTTTTTATTTTTAAGAAAAAAACCCTCTTCAATCTGTGCCATCTCATTTTCCCTGTGTCTGCCCCCTCAATGGTTAAAAACGTTAGCCTGCTGAAATTACAAGCGTTTCAATAAAAGCTTGAGTGAAAGTTATAAATGGCTGCATATTCTGGAAATTTATATCCAGACGGTGAGTAGGGAAGAGTACCCCAGGTTCAAGTGCCGAGCCTCACTCGGGAGCACCTTTGGGGCCAATGGGACTGCAGACTAGATTAAATCAATAGTCGTCTGAAACGAGATGTCGTAATCAATCAGCTCAATTACCACTGTCATAGATCTGGGCTTAAGGTCTTTCCTGATTCCACTCTTCTAATCATTAACCCTTATACATCCTCAAAATACGGACTTATACGTGCTCTGCTGCCCTACCTTACAGAAACTTAAACTTTGCTTTTTTTCCCTGTTTTCCCCTTCGCCATGTAAAAAATGTAGGAACAGGTCAGCAAGAAATGTTTTCGGCATGAATAAGGCAAGGTTAGATGCACTCCTTTAAATATACCTATTATGGATTTGCTGTGTGTGCGCTTATATGTTATTATTATGCCCCCGGGAGTGGCTGGGTGGATCAAAGACTGCTGTTTAATTAACATTCAACTCGGCTGTTTCCTTGGAGATTACAAATAGAAGACTAGTCGAATTAGACTGAAGCCGTTCACTCTTTTCACTAATCCAATATTAGAGAACTCTTCTCCGCTCAACCTAGTAAGGAGCAACTCATTTCTGGTTAATCAGCCACTAGGAAAATCCATTTGCAGTTTGAGGGTAAGCGTGAAAAGTTGTAAAGTTGTAAAGATATTAAAGACATTTTTGTATGAATGCCTGAAATTCACAGAATTGCCCCATCGCTTACATTTTGCATCCACAGTACAGTAAATCCACATGCAATGAAGGAAAAAGGAACCATCAGTTCGAATACTAGCAGAGCCATTTTAAAGTCTTGCCTGTAATTATCATTAGCAGTATGGAGATGAAATTTCATCAATTTAATGTTTCTTTTATTCCTGTGCAAGTTCCAAAAAGATCAAAAAGCTCTTCATAAAAATGGCTTAGCAATTGTCACACATCCTTCTTCCAGTGTCTCAGGAGGGAAGAACGAATCCAAGTTTCTACTAGACAGTTAGCAGGTATCCAGAAATCTGGTCTTTTAAATTTGATTTATTCTACTGATAGACTCAAATAATAACAGGGAACGAAAACCCCATCACATTTACAGTTACATCACTCTCTGCACACTCTGCCTCTGTTTCCAAGCAGAACCACACCTTTTTCAACTGCAGATCTGCTTTCAGCTGCAGAGACCGAACGCACAGCGTTAGCCCATGCCGCGCTATGAATGCCAAACAGCAGAACGAGCCCCTGGACCAGAGCGATGATATTTCGGGGAGGAATTCTTGCACGTTTTCCAGCCATGGGTATGAGAACGAGACAGCCAAGAGCTCTTCCGCTTCACAGGCTCAGGCCAGGGGACCCAGGGAACCGTTTGCGGGAATGACACCTGCCCGGGCTCGGCCGCGGCAGGGCTGCGCCTGCCGCGCGCCGCTGAGGGGCTGCGCTGGGCAGCGCTCAGGGAGCCACGCAGGGAGCAGCACTAGCCAAGATATATTATTATTGGACATTGATTGCTGGATTTAATGATCCAGCTGTTTTCATTAGCAGAAATATAAAAAAGCCCCTTGTTTTCTAAGCAGGAGTTGGTCTAGAAAATCATTCAGCTCCTAGCAGAGGTGCTTTTTAAGAGGCTCATACCTCAGCCAGGAACTACTTTGTTGCAGGAACTGACCCCTCACGGAGGGAAAAAAAAAATGACCCCTGCTTCACATCTTCTCTGGGAGAGGTTTAGCTGACAGTGGGAAGAGATACAGAACGAACCGTACTACCTACCGTCCTTTAGTAATGAAAAGGAATGCAACGTAGCAGACACCAAATTAAGCCGGATGAAGGGCACAGAGAGGTACCGCTCCGTTTGGCAGGCAGCACTTCAGACTGTGAGCATCATCCACAAGGGGACAGCATTCACAGCCACACGGGAGAGATGCAGTTTGTGTACGGGAAGGGCAGAACGAGAGTAGCAGCCATTGCTGAAACCACCAGCGCCACAGACAAGTAAATAAAGGTGTTTTCTGGGTTATTACTTATGGACAGAGAAGGAGGAGTGGTGAGCCTGGACACGGATGTCAGGTGTCAAAACCCATTCAAATACAGGATAAGCCTTTTGGGTATTTACACAGCAAGACTAAAGGTGACTTGCAACACTAACACAATCTTTTTGTGAAAGACAGGGATTCTCTGGAATAACAAAAAAAACAACGCTAAGAGAATTAGGATAACAAGAATTAGACACCGTCGGAGCAGAATCAGAACGTGTCTAAAATGAAGGGAGAAGTGTGGTATCAAACATGTTGGTCTGATTTTGCAGTTCTGATCATCATACTCTCTGCGTGCTCTGACTGGGAGGTAACACCCTTATCTCTCTTCTTCCTCTAGAAGCAAAGTTTCTTCGTGACAGTGCATATGAAATAGACAGCGACTAAAATAAAAAGTCAAGCTTCCTTTAACGTCGTGCTTAAACGCGTTAAAAGAGTAAGACTGTTAGAGTGACCTGTATCTATGCATATGACGTAGCTTCGTATGATTGTGCATGACATCTTCTCCCCACACGGAAGAACAGCAAGGCGATAACAACTCCAGAAAAATCCCAGATGCATCTAATCCCAAACCTATCACAAAAAACTAGCCCCTGAATTTGCCATTTACAAACGCTACACCCAGCCTTTGCCTTATTCTTAATAATGGTGCTTTTTGTATCTTAGATGAAATTCCCACCTGATTATGAAGTATCAAAAAATACAGCCTGCACAGCTGTTAAACAAAGGAATTCAGACAAACAGAAGGAAAACAAAAATCCTCTGAAAAAGCAATATCCTTCTCTCCCTACGTAAGTTTCTACATACTTGGGGAACGCTATTATACTGTCTCTTTGCTGACTGGTCAATTTACCTGCCATTAATTAAAACACAGACATAGGACAGCACAAATTATTGCAGTCTGAATTACTTTGAAAATACATGAGTACTACTCAATAGACTTTGATTTCATTGACATTTTCAATTAAAAAAGTAATTCTTTGTGAAAACTAACCACTGTTATATTTATTCTTTTTGATCAATGCATTCTTGAGCTCCAAAAGCATGAAATAATGATTACATTAACTTTTCTATGTATGAGCACTTTTTAGTCTTAATTCATGAGTTACTTTGTGTTACTGTTTAATACAACCTCAGCACAATGTGAAGAAAGGGACTAGTACTATGATGAAATACCAACTATTCTTTAAAATGTTTTTGACTAATACAGTCAAGTTCGCTTTTTCAGTCTGCTCAAGAAAGCCTCGAGCAGTTATGTTGAAAACTCTCCCTTCATAAATTTTCTAGTAGGGCACTTTTACTATTTCCTTAATAATTACATATATACATATTCGACAAAAACTCAAGATTTCATAGAACGAGAGAGTCGAAATATGTTGTCTGAAGCCACCTCCCCATACTGAAGTTTCATCCTATTGTTGCAGTCATCAGTGGGCCTGATCCCGTAACCAGGACGATTCAACAAACTTTATTCGTGGGGATAGTTCCTCTGAAATTAACTGACCTATTTTACGGAGCAGTGATTCTTGGACATCTCTGTGTTGGATAAGAATCAGGTCTAGAATTAATAAAAATAAATTAAAGGAATTCCGTGACTGTGCACAGTCACGGAACATACAGAATTCTGCCACAGAACAGAAGTGACTCCTATTTTGTTAGCAACGCTAACAATCTGAAGATAAACATTTGTGACAAACCTTCAGATACCATTTTGAGAGCTTTGCTTTAATAGGTTTCAAAAGCAGGCTGGGGAAACCTATACCTTTTTAATAATAACATACAAAGCAGGTCCAATGCCTCCAGAACCAGACTATTTTAAATTTTCTAGACAGTGAAGGTTAAAGCTATCCTGCATTCTCATAGTTCCCTCTCTCCTTTCAATCAATCTCATTGATTTTTTTAAGGGTCAGAGGCTATACCTTCATTGATCAAAGAAACAGCCTGACACAGCGAAAGAGTCTGCCAATTCCAGACAGATCAATCACACCTTTGTCTGCTTCTGATACATTATGGTTATTTATTCTGCATCACCACGACTTTCTGTCGCATGGTTCTTAATGTAATCATGTTGCTTGGGGACAACAATAAAAAGGGGGGGGGAGGGGAAATATTCTATTTAAAATATTTTAAGCTTGCCTCTGGTATTTCTGAGGGTGGTTTATGATGGAACTTGGCCAACTAGTTTGATTTCATTTTTGACTTGGAACAGAACTCTTGTTCTGGTATTCAGCTCCCCTAGATCAGCATTTTGTAGGATTTTATAAAGGCAGTCCTTTGAAACGGTTTGTGCAAAGCGTGTTTAGAAAAGTAATTAGATCTTGATAGAACAACAATTACGATATAATCACAACCATAATTCTCCATCTTTATACACTGTTTCAGAAATGTTTTAATAAACAGAATGTAACTGATACCAGTCTATAGCTACTGAGTGCTTTATGACTGTAAAGTGAAACTAAATGGTCAGCCTAAAATAATTGCTAGGAAATATTGCTGAATAAACAGATATAAGTGCTGAAAAGCTCCTGGCTTTGCAAACTATTATGCTGAAAGCCAGCTAAAGCTTTAAAAAATGCACAATATGCTCGCTGTCCGTTGTGACAGAAAGCTATATGCTGTTATTTATCTTTTCATAGCATCTACAAGAAGCCCTTAAAACTACTATTGGTCTGATTGTGAAACTCTGACGCACATTTGGTAGCCTCTCACTTCACAAGCAATTGCACTACTACAGAGCAACCCCTTGTGGGTCTTGTGATATTCATTATAAGTAAGAGCATAAAAATCAAGTCCTGAAGGTGAAATTGTAGTATCGGAGAAGTCAGTGGCAAAACGCCCAGTGACTCCAGTGGAGTCAGGACTTCACTGCAAGAATTTACATCTGAACTCCTTCAACTAAAGCCACCTTCAGTAAAAAAGGCAGCTCACAGGATCGCACAAGACCATGCCATTATAAAGAATCAAAAAAAAAAAAAAAAATTAACATGGTTCTTAGCAAAATAGCTCACAAAGCTATGATTAGCTTTATGCACAATATAGCCTTAGCAAAGTCAGTGGAACTGTTCAATGTGGATAAAATTTAGCAGGTTAATCTTGGCAAAATCAGGGTATCATGTAATAAGACGTAATCACTGTCTTGAAGAAATTATTCACCTACATCATTAGAACATTAAAATAAGATATACGATAATCCAAACAGTTGGCCTTAGTTTCTGATTTCATTGTGCTTACTCTGTAAATTACTGCGCACCAGATTTACATCAACATTATTATGTAGAGCAAAAGGTAAGCGGTATACAAAGCTGAAATATTAAACCTATTAACAAGTTACGAGTTTGACAGAGTCCCTACAAGTAGTTGTGTGCATGCCAAGAAACGCATTTTAAAGCCTTTAACTAAAGGAAACTGCCTTCCAGTGATAAACTGCAATGCCTAAAAGACATGGCTAAAATGCTACTGCCACTCTCAAAGGCCAAGAGACCTTAAAAACGGTTGCTGGCTGACAGCATTACACAAAAACATACAGTTTCTTCTGTAAAGAAATAAAGCTGAATGCGCAACATTTCAGAGAAGTTTTGAATAAGTCTATTTGTCCAGCTTACTTTGCAAAGGCTCTGTAGAAAACAGCACCATAAACACTTTCAGTCCCCACACAAGGGCTAAACAAAGAGTCCTCTTTCTAGCCATTTAATCCAGTAATTTATTTTTTCAACCATCACATAAATCGAAACACAGCTGTAACCAATGACTTGCAGATCCAGTTCCCTGCCAGCTGGATCCTGTTCTGCTGAAGCAGCAAGATTTTTACATTGTTCACTTCTGTACATCTGGAGAAATCATTTGGGTTCAAAGGTGACTAGAAAAGCTCTTTAAATAAACCCAACCAACAGTGAAGAGAGGCCTAAGTATCCACAAAATCTACACGGAGTTCCATTTAAAAAGTTCTTTCTTTCACATTAGCTCTTCGAAACTATTCGCTTCTTTACAAATTTCATTATTATGCCATTTTAGTTGGATTCTACATGCAAATATCTATTTTTATAGTAAAGAACTGGTTAATACTTCCCAAGAACTTTCAAACAGTGCAAATACTCAAAAGTGCTCACAGTTAACAGTCTATTATTTATCACACCAAAAAGAATCACCAGAACGATAGCAAGGTAACGCAATATCAAAAAGATACCTTAATAATTCATCCATCTTAGCTATAGCCTAAAATGCTGCTCAGCTTTAAATTCAGAAAAAGCAAACCGTAAGAGAGTCTACACCACACTAAGATATGCTGAGCCTGAAATCTCTTAGAAGCTAATCCTTAAAATAGCATTACTTCAAGAAAAGTCAGCATCATTCCCAAGTGCAGGAGTACTGCTAGTTAAGTAACAAAAATGTCCCTGACATTTAGAACTGCACACAACAAATTGATTACCATGTATCGTTTCCTTTAGAAAAGTAATCACAAAGCAAATAACCTGAATATTTCAGAGGTAAATAACACTGAAGGCTCATATAACCAGTATCTTTGACTACTTTTCAGACAAAGAGCAGACACTCAAATGTGTTTACAACTGAGGTGTTCCGTGCCTAGTATAGGCCTCACTAACAAAAACACTTACAACTTCAAGAGTACCTGCACTAGGTCTTATTTGCAAATCTGTAAGCATGCGATCTCAATTACAAAATAAACCAAAAATTGTCCTTGGATGCATGTTTGCACGCAAGGAGTAAGAGGGACACATCCAGAACATGCCCCTAGTTGCATAGGTAAAGATCTAGTTCCTTTACTACACATTACAAAAAGGTATTTCAAAATTTAACTAGGGCTCACTACTGTAACTGCTTCTTTTCCTTTGTTAGCGCTTACTGTTATAGCTCTTTTGAAACAATGCTGACAGAAGTTTCATTTTTGGTTGTGAGTCTGCCCACATCTTTGCACAGGCTTCGTATTATTCTGCGTACATTTCACAGAAAAAATGAGTAGCTACCTCACCTTCAGCTCTCGCTGCTTGTTGTCTACTCTGGCCTATGCTTTCCCACATACTTACAATGATGAGAATACATGGTTAAGTATGCTATCTGTTCTGTTGTGAATATAGGAGCCTCAAAAAAGTAAAAATAAAAAAGAAGGAAAAATCTCATGTCTTTAAAAGCTTAATAAATCATCTGCAAAAATTAACATGCACAAATCATAACCAGGTAATTACTGTATCACTCCAAGACAAACTTCAGGATATTTAGATGTGCATTTCTATACATAAACATGCACAGATTTGCATTGATATTCTAAAATTAAAAGTACTTAGTTTGCACTTAACTACAATGCTCCTGGAAAGCTTTCTCCTTTCTGTTACTGATGGGTACTTAGCCTTAACTATAGCTCAGTTTTTGCCTGATAATTAATTGAAATATCACAAAAGGCAGTGAAATTTGACAGAATATCAGCTGAAACTGCCCAGTGATTGAACTTCCACAATGCTTCCCATTATTTAGGAGCAATTACCTTGCCAAAATGATCAGCACAATGCAACAGTGTAAAATTAATTTACCACCCATTTACCACAATTCTTTTGCTTTCCCACCATTAGTCCTTCGTAGTTCAGGTTTTGTACTGTCAAAACTATTTCCCTCCATTTCTTATAAATGGATGAGAATTTATTACCTAATTCAGACCTCACAGACGACCCATTTCATAATGTTATCTGCTTGCCTGCTTAGGATTTCAGGTAAGTTAAATTTGGGTAACTATTAGTCACAATCTACAATTCACCATTCCGGAAGGTGCCTGGGACGGTCTATGGAAAGTAAAGTAGCCCGGACAGAGGCGTCATCTGTTTCAGTTAGGCTACCTCAGTTGCCTGGAAAACCTTGTGTACCTCTTCTACATCACAGTTTGCAGTACAGATGGTATTCTGATTTATCCAGGAATGTAATTCCCATGGCAGACCCTGAGGCAAAGACTCCAGTGTTTTTTATATATTTGGTTTAAAACCTAAGCCCTGCTGAATGACTCTCCCAACTGGAAATCCAGCTCATCAAGCCAGAAGGATTGAATCAGAGATTTTTAGATCCAACATGCAAATTTCAGAATGTGCTAAGCCGGCTCTTCTAATTATCTGAATTTTTGTTTGCCAAATATTATGGGTGTCTCTACGTAGGGTTTTGGATAATTATGCTTATCTTCCATAAAACATTCAGTTACGCCAGTTTACATTGCACAATCCTTTATGTAACCTGTATCACTGAATGCAGCAGCGATGAACAACTGTCTAAGGTGGGGTGTCAGACTTCACATACCTCTCCTGCATTAAAGCTAGAGCTTATCAATAGAAACGAAACATGAAGCCAGAAGCTGCTGCCTTTTAAAGATGAGTGATCTTGCCCATCACCTTTTTGGCAGAATCTTGCATCTGTGCAAAACACCAGTTCCCATTTACCAGTTCTCAGTGAGTGTGGAACCCAGAACATTTAATTCATAGCATAAATCAGGACATCTGCCAAAGAGAGGTGGTCCTTTCTCCCCTCCCTCCTGACCTTAATCATTTGTTCTACCACCTTGTTTGCGCTGACACTTGCATCTTACAGCTGCATCGTAAAGCAGATTAGCAAACTGACCCAAAAAAGTAAACCAGAAGAAACAAAAAAATTAGTTTGCAGCTGGATCAGTCCTCGATCTGGCTCGTTGAAGAGCCACATAAACCTAAGTGCCAGCACAAAAGGCTGGGTAGAAATGAGTGCCATTGGCAAGAGGATGGAGCTCTCCTTTCAGGGGCAGCCTAAACTTACGCAGAATATATGCGTCCTCCTGGTGGGAGACAGGAGCTGTTAACTGTGGCCTCTTTAAAGTAACCTTTTAAAGACACTAAGCATCCCAATCTTCAGTTTGTGCACTAGCCTTACTACGTACCACGGTACTCTTGCTGAATCCTGCTATACAGAACTAAGAATACTGTCTGAAGCAAAGATATGAGACTATATTACAGACAAAGAGAAATTAGGAGTTACAGCCAGGGGAAAAGAAAAGACACTCAGGCAGAATCATGCAGAAGGCTGTTCAAGGTGGTCAGAATAGTAAATGAGAAGACCAGCATATTAACAACAATCAAGAAATACATTAAGGCTATAAATAACTATGAAATTAGGTATTAAGAGCAATTATACAACACACAAAGAAGGTGCTCAGAGACTCTGGTACACTTGAAATGCAAATTACTGCAGAGCTAAGGATAGTTGGGACAACAGAATTCAAACTACAATTAGATCTCTGATTATCAGACATTATAACAACATTATTTGAACTTTGCCAAAAAAGGCTGAAATGCACTATATACATATCATTACTTATACAGTCTTCCTTGCATGTGTTGATTCCTACTCATCCAATCTAGGCCTGGTTTCCCAGTCAACTGTTTGCAATAGTAAAATAGACTGGCGTACGGTTTTTACAATGTCCATTATAGCACTGAACAACAGAGAGAGAATCAGTAAATTGTGTGTTATCGCCATACAGCATACAGCGTTTTGCCTTTTTTCTTTTTGGGTAAGTAACATGTCTATCATGGGTAGTCAGTACAATTATCATTGGATTTTGTTCTACAGGCACACACCATAAGGCAAAGATATGCCTTTTCTTTCACAAATACAGTGCCATCAGACACTGCATCCTTGTTTGTAAGTCATTTTCGAGATGCTGTGTTCTCACACATGCAATATGAGAGCAACAACAGAAAATGAAACATATCCTTGTGAAACATATCAACATCTGTTACTCATGAAAAAAAGGTGGAATGACACAATCCTCTGCTAGGACCACGGTGTGCCCTGAATTTCTAAGCAGAACATCTCATCAAAATGATTGAGCATCTCAATCCCAAAGCTCTCTAGGGAGCACAGTGTTTGCAAGTGCATCAGATATCCAGTGATGCATGCATATGGCAGACTCTCTGCCTCAGAACCCATGAGTGGGCCAAAAGCTATCAGGAACTTATTCAACCAGGCAGTCTAAACAATTATTGCACATACAAAAAAACTTTCAAAGTTCTTTGAAACTACCTTTGAAATAACCTCTGAAACATACAGCACTTGCTTTTTAATAAAGCAAATTTGACATAAAATATTGGCTTGCAGCACTTCTTTTATCCCTACAATGAACATACCCTTGAGGATACTACCTTGAGTATAGACTTGAGGAGATGCAGATTTCAGAAAAGGCACCTTGGCTTATTCATCTTTGATTATTAGGTTGCAATGACACCTTCGAAAGCATAGTTCCCCTGTACATAATCAGATAAGCTCAAATACGGCCTCCATTACACCCACTAGCCGAAATCTTGCCGTATCAGCCTTCACCTTGCCTTCCCTGGGTCCAGAATTTCCAGAAGGTCCAGCTTATGATAGGGAGCCAAGACAACTGAGCAAGTTTAATAGGAATTGAATGAGGACAGAGGGTAGGTAGGACAGGTAATGGGAAGAGAGTAAAATGTGCTGTTACTCTGTACTCACCAAAACTTCCTCGTTTCCCAACTTCTCTCTCTGTTTTTCATGGGTATCATTACAACGATTTCAAACATGCCTCAGCAATTGTTTCACTAAGGTCAAATTCTGCATCACGGTCAACAGGAGTAGCGTTAGCCACATTGCAAAATCTCAGCCTTTGGACGGAAGCTCTTTGGTGCAATGAATCTCTCTGGTTACCTGTATGTGACATACTTAATACAGTCAGCCCTTGAAGTCTGCTGAGGAGTGCAAGTACCCCTCAGCAAAAGATAAAGAAGTAAACCAAAAAATCCCAGTAATAATACCAGCCAGCCAGCAGTAATGTGTTTTTTAACAATTGCTTTTGCTTCCTCCCTCTCTCCTGGGATCCAAGGAAATTTGTGAAGAGGGAAGAGTAACACATGCAACTCCTAATGTGGACATCAGGTATTTTAAAGTATATCTGGGAAGCCTCAAAAGCCATTTTGATGATACTTTCTCTAGGTAAGTCTGATAAAACATAGCTAGAAGTGATCATTACGTACAGGTAAATTATGTATTTTTCGCTTATTTTCAAGAGAGAATTATTCCACTAATAAAACACACAGAGATGCTAAGCAAAGATACTATTATTACATTATACTACTGGAGCACTAGATAAAAGTTCTGTGTAAAGCCATCAGCCACCAACTGTTACAGTTTCTTTTCCTTTATTAGACAGAAACACACTTCTATATAGGGTACAAACACTGTAACTGTAGTTATTTGAAAAATGAATTGCCATAATTTTCTGTGGATTTTAACTAGAGAACTGTGGGCCTTCCTTGGTTGCAAACAAACTCTAATTTAACCAAACTTTTAAGTCCCTATATCTTACAGAATGGTGCAATCTAACTCGGAAGTGACAGACTGCTTTGCAAAATCTACCTGCAAGACAAGTGTCACGTGACCCTTGTCCGTATGAACGACGAGTGCATCTATTAAGCCTTGGTATCAGACTTTCGAAACACAGTATTCTTTCAGCCAGCCAAACGGTGCCATTACACTTGCTTCATTCTTAAAAGTCAGCAAATCAGTCAATAAGCTTTTTCATTTTTCAGTGAGGAGTATCAGCAAGCCAAAGTAACGTGAAATCCTGTATCATGGATTAGGACAGGTTTATAAGCCAAACCTCTGTATTAACTCTTACAGATTTTAAGGGTTTAAAATTGTCTTCTGCACTTCTGTCACCACCTTAGCTAGTGACCTTATAGCGACTTTCAATTTTATATATCAGACATGCACCCGTTTCAGTTCCTCACTGATTACACAGATTACACAGTAATCTGCACTACACTGTTGGACACACTGATTCCCCTTTTTTCCAGAGAAAATCGGTTTTTGGACTCTCTTTAGCATCCATGGCTTACCAAAATTCCCAGACTATCAGTGGGGTAAAATAACACTACAGTAAATTCTGCCCATTCTTAATCTCATTGTATCTTTCCATTTTTTCTACCAGCCAAATATATTTAATTTGTGGCAATGGAAAAAGACAGTATTTTGCATTCCTTTGTTTTCTTAAGAAATAAAAACTGATATCCATTTGGAGGAAAAAAAACCCAAAAATAAATATGGGAGACTACAATGTATCAAGTGGCGCTACACACTTATTGAACCAGGGTCTTAATATGATTGTTCGTGTTTTTGATCATGAGTCTTGGAATCCTCACAGTCCCAGTTAACTCCTCCAGGTTGCATTCTGCTCTTCAGAAATGAATGGATTCATAGTCTAATCTGAAGACAGGAATTTTCTACTGATTCATAAGAGTAAGAATTTAAAATGTCATCGTAATAGGTATAGGAGTAAAATTCACAGTACATTTGAACGTTTTAGCTGCTTTCCCACAGGGGGAAAATATACTTGCTGGAGCAGAAACATTTTGTTCACAGACCACTCTTTCTCTTCAAAATAAATCAGCTAAAGAGATCTCAAGCAAAGAATCTGTCTGTGCAAACCCGGTCATCCCTTTCATTTAAACCTACTCAGCCACCTCTCTATTTCAGGACCACGATCAGAATTTATCCAAATTGGCATCGAATGTACGGTGTGCTACTTCCCTGTATCTCCTCAAGGAAATAGTACTACTTGAGATGACACAGAGCAGGGTAAGTATGGATAAATGCTGACTTTACTGAGGACCGCTGTAGGTTAGTGAAAGGAGCTGTTAATTGAAGATTGATGAAGCTCACTGTTATTTTAAACAAGTCCTCAGTAACAGTTTGAAATGAGCCTTGAAATAATTAGAATAAGGATTGCCACAGGAAGCATGGAACTAAAAATATCATCAATTATTTTACAGAAGATTAATCAAGTCCAGTGAAATTGGTAGTATTTGAAGTGATAGTGACTGGTAATTTTTTAAGTGAACATATGCAGACCATATATGAAAAGCCTCTTTTTGAAGAGCCTCTCACAGTCATACAAAACCTGCTTTTGAATTTAAGTAGGCATGTAAATGGTCTGCATTGAAGTGAATTTCATCCAATCTCAGCATAAATGATCATTCTGTTAGCAGCTCTGAAAGGACATCAGTAGGAAAAGCAGAGTGATAGACCTCACTGCCAGCTTGGTGAACAATACCAGTATGCATTTTCCAAACTAGGCAGGGAACATATAACACTGATTGTGAATTAATACAAAGTAAACTAATTGGGTAGGAACTGAATGATACAATTCAGGACCCTCTTCTACTCAATATCAGGCTTCATAAACATGGCATGAGCGCGTCTAACTGCAGATAAAGAATATTTGAACTTTTATTAAATAGCTATTCAAGAACATCTTGAGATGCTTCTTTTCGGAAAAAAAAAGGATGACACTAAAAATGGCTAATTATCATGCTAAACAAAAAAGAGGATCAGGAGAGATGGATATAAAATGCTTTAAATGCTGTTATTTTGGATAAAAAAAGAAGCTACTTTTAACATTTTAGAGGGAATGTACAACACATGGACTGGATCCACAAAAAACATGGAAAATACAATGCTGAAGGAGAGATCACAGGCTGCGAACCACATTTGCATTTGCATTGTGATATGAAAGTAAAGTATTAACTAGCATACTCAAAAAGTGTCGAGGGGCAGATAGCTTGCACTACATGCTTGTTCTATATAAATTTGACTCGTTGAGATATCTCCAGATAAGTGAACTGCATCAGAGTATTTTCTGGCTTGCCATGGCTACTGAGACGTAACCCAACTAGCCTAAAATGAGATGCACCAGTCAAATGAACTAGTAAATTCCATTCTGATCATCCCATTACCAGAAACGCTTTGATAATCTTGAGTGATTTCAGAGAAAAACAAGAGGAGTGATTAGGCAGCTGCCAACATAGACTGCAGAAGAGCTATCGAGAGAGGTAAGTAATGTTAAGTACTTGCTTAGCTGAGCAATATGTAGGGGAATACAATAACAACCTATAACTATCTGTTGGGCATTATCTCCACAGCAAAAGAGCAAAGTTTTTCCATGCACAGTCATACGTAGGAGCAACGAGATGAAAAATAGAATAAGAATTTCTATTTGTGTAACAAGGAATTCTTTTTCACGACGAAACGCTATTTTGAGGTAACGGCTCACTTCTGCAAAACTAGCTTACATCGAGCACAAGTATGGACTAACCTTTGCCTCGCTCAGTAAGTGCAATAGGTCATTTTTACCTCTATGTTCTACTGTACCTTCATATGAAAATAAGGAAGTCAAAGAACCACATCAATGGTAAGAATCAACAGATATGAGGGACCTCAGAGCATGGCAGCAGTTCAAGAGAAAATGGGGTTCTACTTGCCTTAATAGGGGTTGAAAGGAGGCAGCAGTGGCAAAACCACAGTGAGAATTCTGCAACCTGTCCATTCAGGGAATAGAGGTTTTATGAGGATATCAAAGTATTGACAAATGTAGAAGGAGAACAAGGAGTATATAGGAATTAAAAGAAATATTTAACGACAAAAGAACAATGAAACACTTCAGATCTGGAAAACAGGCAATTTAGAGGGGATATAATGGCAGTTTGTAAATACATGAAAAGACCTAGGGCAAGACAAAGCTTCCAGAAAGAGAAGGCAAAGAGAGGAACGGTGCATGAACTTGCCCTGGACTTAACAGTAACTATTACAAGGTTTCAACTTACGTGTTTGGTTTGGGGGGTTTCTAAAGCTCATTGCTGTAACTGTGATATAGAAATCTGTCAGAAGATGAGGCAGCAATGTAAATAAGATTAAGGCAAAACGTAGCCCTTTTTGCTTTATGATGAACAACATATTCAGATATAAATGAGAGATACGTGAGCACGTTTCACACATGCCAAGTTCAAAAATCTAATTTAACGAAAGAGGATGCCAGACGTGTCTTCCCTCCCGCACCCAAAATCTGTGCACCAAAAGTTACAACAAGGGACTGAATCATGATGACCTTAACAAACACCTTTTTCCTGGATTTCCACAATTCCATTCTTTTTCAAACATATTTGAAAAGTGCAGCTGTTTGAGCAACAGAGTAGCACACATTTCTCGTTGAAAGCTGTTTAACTTCATGTCTTATATAATGTTGAAAAAAAGATGTTTGTTTTGCCTTTTTTTAATTCTCCTCTCATATATTACACTTGCAAGTATACCATGTAAAGATCATAAAGCACTGTGACTGCACAACTGCTCATGGTGAGACTGGCATGCTTCCTGCTAAATAACGTCATTTATTCATCTATACCATATATGCTTTTCTATTACTCTCAGGTTTAAATTCCAGGGAGACAGATGCAGCAGGCACCTAGCAGACACAGAAGAGCAGCAGTTTGGCTAACTACAGATATAATTCTGTATACCTTAACTGAGCTACGTAATAATTAAAACATAAGCATGGAAGAAGGGACTACCCACCGGAACCTCTCAGCTGTTCAACAACAGAGCAGACAGGGTAAATCTTGCCCCACAGAGGGAACAGCAGGGAAGAAGTAGTCAACTGAAACCTTCATCGATACCTCCTCCCTCTGGATTTCAGGGTCAGAAGATGAATCTGTGTGAGCTACTCAGCATTCTGCAATGGCTGATCCTACAGATACTTTTACCACAGTTTGGTTTTACATCTAAATAGCCCTGCTGAGTGAAAGCAACTACAAGCTTGGATCCTTCTGGCAATGACTTCCATTTGACCAACTGCTCAATGAAGAAAGCATATATCTTTACATATTTAAACTTTGCATCCCCTCAGTTTCACTGAATCTTCATGTACTGTTGTACTTGACAAAGAAGAACAACATGTTTATTTGAAAACAGATTGTCCGCTTGTCTCATTTTGTTCATTTTTTCTCTATCACAGCACTCAGGGTAAGAGACAGGGCTGATTTATATGCTGTCATCTGTTCCTTATGTAGATTAATATTGTGCAGATAGGATCTTGTTGTAGTTGTTTCTTGTTTTGCGGTGAGTGGGATGTTTTGTTTGGAGGATTTTTAAGGAGACAGGAAAGGCTGCCAAAACCTGAACGGAGATCACAGGTTTTATCGAGTTGTCCACAATGGCTTGATCTTTTTCCTTGGTATTTTTAATTCATTTAGAACCCAGCAGAGTGCATAAATAGTTCAAATTACTTCTTTCAGCGCTTGCTAGCTTTCATGTATTGACTACTGAATTCCATTTGACATTGTGTTGTCCATTGCTGTAGTTCTGACAGCTCCCTTTGAAGTTCCCCACATAGCGCGTTTTGGACTTGAGTAACCTAGGTAATTGTGCCGTTTGTAAATGCTGCCATCTCACTGCCTAACCTTCTTTATCAATTCAGTAATACATTTATTAAATAAAAACTGTCCTAGCATGGAGCAATGGAGCCCACTGTTAGCTTTCAGCCACAGAGGAGGCTGACTATATATTTTTACTTTATGTTTTGTCATTTAGCCAGTTTTTACCCCTTGACAAGGATTCCCCTCTCCCCCACTGACCACATAGCTTCCTTTAACAGCCACTCCTGTGGAGAAAGCTTTTTGAAGTCAAAAAAGCTATGTTAGCTGTTTCTCTTTTTTTCTTCTTCTTTTTTAAGCGGCTTGCTAAAGAATACTGATGAATGAATTTCCTTTGCAGAACCAACCCTGGTAACTACCACAGTTGTGCCCATACTTTACCGTCTAAATATAGCCTCTTCTAATTTCCATTCTCTTTCTATTGCCCAGAAATATATTTCACTTGATTAATCTGAAACAGTTCTCCAAAAACTGGTCACAGTGTTCGCTATTATTCAGTTCTTCAATACAGAAACTGTAACGTAACCACATCTGAACACACATCCTTCATCACATTCTTCCAAAAGCAACTCTGCCTAATGCATGAACTTAGCTGTACCGTCCTTCTCGCAGAATACAGAGATCAAGAGAGCTTTTCATTACATTACCATCACAACAAACAACAAGTAAAACTACTGAGCAACTCCAAGCAGAATTAAAATATACACGTCTAGACACTTTTTGAGCTTAACCCTTCTGAACTTTTTATATTCTGGACTTGCCAATTCCACAGCTTCTCCCTCTCCCACTTACGTGCCAAATTTTTATCCCCACACCTGTGGGATTACTGAAACTCCTATCTGAAAACTGCAAATCGAGCTTATCTAGCTTTTTGCCACATCCTTCGGAGAGTTAAGAGAACACCGCTCCCATAAACACATTCAGGTTGTCATTTCTAAGGTGCTGAGCGTACAGTCCACTGCTTGTGGAAAGTGGGAGTAAAATGGATCGAGGCCAGGTCTGAGCCTTCTTAATCCTGGGCTGCTCTGCGCCTGGCCACCTAATTCGGACAGTCTCTTCAAGCCCGCCCGGGTGCAAGCAGGGAGAGTTCAGCTGCCCACGAGCCCCAGCAGTGCCTGACTCCCCAGGAGACCCCCCCAGGGCCCCTCCAGTGGTGCCCTGGCCTGCACTGAGCCCCCCCCCTAAGCTTTTAAGGCTGCAACTGGCAGCTCCGGTGAGTCTCGCCACAGAAAAGTGTCCACGCACAGACGAGGGCAGAGAACAGGTAAGAAGACATGCCCCGGGCAAATGCACTTACTTTGCTACCTCACAAAAAATTAACATTACAGCTCATTGGCATATAAAAGTTTAAACAACTTTTCCGTCACTGTTCACCCTCCTTGTTCACATGTCACGTTCCTGTCATCTCAGACAATCAAAGTCAATTTTAGTTTTATTTGCACAGGCAGTTACACCTTCAGGATCCACAGAGCCTCACTATTTGAATTTCAGTCAATCAGTGCTGTTTATTTAAAATACCTGCATTAATGCAGCTTTTAATATTTCTGACAACGTAGTATTATTAAACATATGATATGCACTCATTTCAAGAAGAACTGTGGGGCAAAGCGTGTTATTACTACATTACAAAAGAGAACATGGAAAACATCATACTGATAAAGAAAACATATTCCAATGTGATATACAGCCTTCCAAATGTGAGATGGGGCTTTTTAATTTAGATCTCACAGGCTAGACCTTCAACGTAACGCCCAGAAAGAACTTTTATGTATGTATTTAGGATTAGTAATGGTCTTGGCAAAGTAAGAGACACGTGGCTTGATCCTGACAGTGATAGGTCATCTGACATGAGCTTGGACAAATCATTTATTTGCTCTGAACTTTTGCTTTTTGCTTATACCATGCACACAAAAAGATGCCAAAGTCCTACGTACATCATTTTTGTTAAAAACTATATAAGAAGTGTTAAATAGAGGTATTTAGAATGAGAAAGACACAAGGGCTTTTGCTTTCAGAATAACAAATCTAAATGCTTTCCCAAGTACAAATCCCTCTTTAAAAGCTCCAACTAGATTACCAGGGAAGACAATACACCTCTGAAGCTTTGCATATTTCTGTATTTTCCTAACCGTTCTCTGTTGCTTGATGTACGTACTTGAAAAGCCTTACATATAGATTTATCTCATTTAGAGGTTAATCACACTTATTTTACTGAAATATCCAGTGAGTTGCCGTCCTGGTAGCGCAGTCCTGAAATTGCAGTCCTGGTAACAAATAGCTTTACTTTTCTTCCACGTACCGATTGTAACAGTATTTTTAAGTGGATGCTGTTGAACTCTTGTATATGAAGCTTGACTCACCTTCAGATACTACTAGATTTTGTCCGACAAATGATAAAGGTTACCAGACAGCAACAGTTCAGACACCCTGCCAACAATATTATTTCGTGTAAAATTATGAGAGTGACATTAGGCGTTCCATGTCATAATTATCCACCTTTTCTTCACGATCTTTCTTTGATTAACTGCCTAACACTTTGGGCTGTTGTTCTGCACTTCCAAATGACCACAAATATTTACATTTATTGGATCATGCTATTCAGAAAATGCTACGACATTTACGTACAAGGACTTACGGGATTAGTTAGTCAAATACTGTAAGACAATTCTATTTGTTTAATAGATTGTCATTAGTGTTTTATTGTCTCCTTTGGCCTTGATCATTCCTACTAAACGTAACAATGCCTATTATTCTTGGCAGAATGAATTTTTCCAGTATTTTTTTCCATTTTTTTTAACTTAAATAATTACTTTTCCCTAAAAACCTTGACTTTGTTAAGACTTATACTTTATATAGTTTCATGTCTCCTGCGTAACCCTCTTGATTTAGTCTGCACACAACTGTTTCCCTGTCGCACACAACTGCTGTGTGACTACACACAACTATTTCTCTGTAGCTGGGTGATATCCTGTTTTTTATAGAAAAACTCTTTGCTTAAGAAGGGAGAAAAATTCACTACATTTTCCAAATCACTTCTCATTTGTCCTGCTCTTCTTTGAGTATAGATGAAGAAACAGTTACTGTTGAATGTTTTATACTAATTAAGTAATGAACAGGTGAAAATGCTATCATTAAAGTTTCACCTTGGAATGGAGAGATTGCTTTTTGTTAATTGGCTTTCAAGTCATATGAAATGCTTAATATTCCAAAATTTGATGTAAAGCATTTGAATTTTCATCATTGTAACCAACAGGTAAAACATCCCCCTCTCAGGGAAAGTCTTTTACCACCTTTTTTTTTTTTTTTTTTAAATTCTGTAACAGATCTTTAGGACAAACTAAATCCACATGAGATAAAGGTGGAAAAAAAAGCAGATACCAGATAATGTTCTGGCTCCCTTACATTCCACAAAATTAGGTTTCAATGTGAATGTTCATCTTGAAGAATGCTCCAAAGCACTCGTCAAATATATTTACACACATTTACTTCAATCCGGAGATTTAAAGTTTAAAGCAGATTTAAAGTTGCTGAAGTGCTCTGCAGACCTGAAGCCATACAGCAGCTCCTAGAAGGACAAGCATTTTCAGATACTGCTGCATTTAACCCAAAGATAGCTACATATCCAGTATATCAGGTACCATGCTGTGGACACGACTGACAAATGATGACTGGGACAGAATTTTATTTGAATATTTTATCTTCCTTAATTCAGATTTCATTTATTTCTTACTAAAGGCAGGATTTGGGCAGGGGGGGAGGTTGGCTTTTGGATCCATTTACATTTGAAATGAAAAATTGAGACTGTAGAGTACTGTGAGTAAAAAAAATATGGCATTAATAAAAATAACGCGCCCAAGCTATTTTAGAGAATCTGACTATTTCTCTGTATCTCCTACCATTCCATATATTAACGGAAACACAGACTTGCATTAGCGAATATTCTTTAGTTTATCCACATACCCTGTTTTCATTAACACTAGTTCTGAAGTAAGTCTTCACTTAGTGAGAAAAGTACTATTAGACCTCTAAAATGAAATACTGTATTTAATAAGTTACTTTTGAGACATTCAGTATATAAAACACATCAACAGAAAGGAACCGTAAATTGGTGATTGATCGGTATTACTACAGGTCCATTAAACTCAACTGAGAAGAGAAAACAATTGATAGTAGTCAGACTAGTCTGTAGAATTTTCCAACTCAAAGTTATACATATTGTAAAACAGGTCATGTTGCATATATAATTCTGATGAGAAATTGGTATCTGGCAAATTACCAACTGTATATTAAATGACAATATTGTTTTTAAAAGCTTATTCTCCCTCTCAAAACTGCTATGAATATGAACCACCTCACTTTAAGTCAATGCCGCCCTTTGTGTAAAGCAAAAGCTTTGAGGATACCTTCCTGAGGCATGAAGATTAGCCTAAAATAAACAAGAAATTACAGTTTTATGGCCATAATCAGAGTCTGTTTTGCTGTTTAGCTATTAACTTAACATACAAATAACCTTATATCACAAAACTCTAATTTTGACAATATATGCAGTGATACATAAAAACATTAATTGATAGCTCATACCTTAAATATACATATTTTCTGTTTTTTAATGGGATAGCAAAAGCAGCATTCATTTACAGAATAGGTATGTACACGTCCCCTTCAAAACAAGAATCTGGATGGAAATCGTCAGCCTCCGTTTGGATGCTGAACATGCTGAGCTCAGTAACAGAAACAGCTAAGGTGAAGATCTTGATACTTCTCAAGTAGATGCTGCTTTTAACACATTCCAT